TAAGCAGATAAACACATAACAGAGGAAACTTTACTTCACATATTTCAGGTGTTGAACGTAATTTATAGTTATTTTTGTGTTATTATACGTACACATCTGAGTACTTTACAAAATTAAGATACTGGTGCAAAGAAACCTAAACACGATGTTAAAAAGATAAGAATCTATAAGTACGATCGTCGATTGAAATTGTCTTTCACAGGATGTACGTAGTGATGGATTAGTACCATTGTTTCCATTGTTGGTGATCACGAAGGTTTATTGATGAGACATTAATAATAATTATACATTCGACGGTGATTTTATCGAAGATCGTGGATTTGTAAAAAATCCTTCGTATGCCTTCCTTCGGAGGGGAAGTAAAGCCGGCTGTCCCATGTTAGTATATTTACCCCTTGTAAAAGAACCTCAAGCCTAAATGACGCCTCTGAGATAAATTCAAATTGCGTGTTTCGTCGCTCCCAAGTAATACCTCCTTTTTCCTAGTGGGTAAAAGGAGCCTAGCGAAATTTGCGTGGTCAAACAGAAGAGCGGGCTTGATAGCCTGAGTCTCGCTATGAAAAAAACAGGCATCAATTAAATTCAGCCACGCTTCCATCATAGTGAAAACAGGTATTTCTTACTGGAGTCGAACCTACACTCTTCACCTTTGCCAACGTGGACGCTATTGCATGCCTCTACACCAGCAAAGCAGTCATAATAAAATAATCATATTAAAATCCTTCTGCAATTTCCAATTGGTCAAACAAAATTTACTCATGAAATGACCTACACAGCATAGCCTAAATTGAGAAGACAACGACGTGGACGGCTGCCGCACGCCTACGCCAATTCTGCAGGTGTCAGCAGCGAGCGGCGCGCGGTGGCGGCGGCGGCGAGAGCAGCACCTAATTCAATCGCGTCGCGTCCCTCCACCACTCGACCGCCGCGGCGACGGTCACGGCGACGCCTAATGAGCCAATTAGCTGCCACGTTGCCGAGCATTACCATTAGCCGGCCCTCGCCCCAGTCCCCGCTGTCCGACGTCCGGAACGCTCGCTCCCCTCGCCGTCAGGCTTTACTTCCTCGCACGCGCACATCGAACACGCGGCCTCACGCAACCGCTGTCCCCGGACTAGTTCCCCGCGTCCCGCAAAAATCAGGAAGAACTGACGAGTCAGGGAAGGCGAGCGCTGTGAACCGGTCCAGGCCATGAAGGATTTGACGGATATACGACTCGGCAGTAGTGATGCGATATAGATAACAAAACATCAGTTTTAGCAAACATCGATGTTAAAAATACATCGACTAAAACTGTCGATGTTTTTCAACATCCATGTTTTTCGACATCGATGTTTTTAAGCAACGATGTTTTTCGACATCGATGTTTTTCGACATCGATATTTTTCGACATCGATGTTTTTCGACATTCATGTTTTTCGACCTCCATGTTTTTCGACCTCCATATTTTTCGACCTCCATGTTTTTCGACATCCATGTTTTTCGACATCCATGTTTTTCGACATCCATGTTTTTCGACATCCATGTTTATCGACATCCATGTTTATCGACATCCATGTTTATCGACATCCATGTTTATCGACATCCATGTTTATCGACATTCATGTTTATCGACATTCATGTTTATCGACATCCAAGTTTTTCGACATCCATGTTTTCAAAGCTGATTTGGTAACCTCTAACATTAAATTCATGGGCAGCAAAGTTTAGTTTGACAGTGTTCGTCAATTCACCGAATAAAAGGTAGGACAGCAAGGGGCGGTCCTTACGCTAATAGCGCAATTGTTGGCTTTTTTTTCAATGTGCGAAATGAATACGAAGAAAGTGGAAATAGAAGGGCATGAAGGTCACCTAGGACGAGAGAATTTGGTAAAGGAGAGTAGTACAAACAGCGTTCTTTTGGTTTAAACACGAGAACTGTGTTACCATCAGTTATATTTCGCCCAGCACTAGACCCTGCTTTAATTTATTTTCCATTCCTGGGGGTAAGGCAGACCTGTGTCGGGCATGACGTACCCCTTTAATTATCTCTAACATACTTGCCGTGCTTGATCTTTTAATTTGCCCAAAAGCTATGATAACTGAGAAGATTGTAATGGAAAGCTGCAGTTCAATATTCGTCGCGTCGGGGAATCCGACCCAGGAACACACCAGAGAAAACTATAATAATAATAATAATAATAATGCTAATAATAATAATAATAATAATAATAATAATAATAATAATAATAATAATAATGATAATAATAAATGCAGTGACGGGACCCACAAGCGTTTTCACAGCAGGTTTTCAGCTGAGCTCAAAAGCAAGTCTTTGGGTGTTCATAGGCAACGTCAATTCCCTGGCTAACAAATCTGACCTCTATGCTCAGACAGAAGGTTTCGTCATTTCCATTCAGGTCGAAATAACCCCCTCTTGCAATAGCCAAAGACATGTTATTGAGAGCAAGAGTGTAGAAAACTTTTACCACCGTGACAATCAACTCGGCTACACCCTTCAACACATAAATAAGTGGATGCTTTGCTTTGAAAAAACAAACAGAATACCTGAGTTAAAACAACATTGTTGTGATGGTAGTCCATCCGGCTCTGGCTACAAAAAGTGTGATGCTATGGAAAGACTTCCCATAGTACAGGTCAAGTCGCACCTAGTCTGGTACACGATGTTGCAAACATATGGAATGTTGAAATCACAGATCGCATGGTCGTAGCCAACAGGCTAGACATTATAGGTGTACAAGATATCACGGAAATGTATTATTGTTGTCAAAACTACCTTTAGACCGAAATGTAACCACATTCACTGCCGAGAACTAGCGGATATACAAGGCTTAAACTGAGCTATATGTCTCAGTCGGTGTCTGTGGATGTAGTAGTTTAGGTAAATCTCCGCAAATAAACTAATCTCTTCTGAAGTAACTTAATATGCAAGGCTTGACCTGTCGTCAAAGATCATGAAATGTGAAATAATTGTAGCGTTTATGACAGCAGGTTAATAAGAATGATGCATTATAAGAAATATGTGGAAAACGTCGACGTCACGTCACGGCCGAACCAAGATCCGTTTTGTATAAATGTGTGCTGCTTATCACTTATTTAAAGATAATCGAGAGCTCCGCGATGGAAATGAAGCGCAGAAGGACAACAATGGGGGAAATAAAATCTTTGGTGTGAAGAAGCAGCAGACCGGTGAGAGCGTGCGACGATAGTAGAAATATGTCGTGAGTACTAAGTAATTTTAGAATTTTTGGTTTAAAAAGTTAAACGTTTTAGAATAATGCAAACAACATTGACATTGTATTCGCAGGAACATCTGTTTTGTTAATTTATTTGAAATTTAAGTGCGTGGTGAACTGATGGATGGTATATTCATAACGCCAATATGCGAATGCTGCTTAACTAAAGTATATTAAAAAATGCCACATAATTTGAGTATGAAGGATAGGAAATCTGATTAGTTCATAATTATTATCATCATCTGTAGGCGTTATACGTCAACTTAACCTTTCGGGTATCCGCTGACGCAACCTACAATCAGTTTATATCGTACATTCTAGAGTCCCTTGACTCTAGCCTCTACTCCCTAACTCCGCTGTAGGTAGTGAGCCTATTTCGTTCTAAAACTTACTCCTGTCTCTTGCTCCTGTCTCATAAGCCCGGGCGGCCTTATAATTCTTTTACAATTAAGGAGGTTTGCTGGCAGCCAGGTGGTGCTCACATAAGAAATGTGGTTAGTTGTAAATATTGCTATTATTATTATTTGTGAAAATGCAACACACACGTGGAATGGTGGGAATCACCTAAGAATGTGTAGATGTGTAAAAACTGTGTCCATTAGAAGTGACTCACTTTGCATTAAGATGGCGTGCACCTTGGTCTAGTAGCTCCCTCCTTTATGTGACAGGTCAGGTCACTGTTATGCTATAGTCAATGTAGAGCCGTCAAATGACGTGGAAAAGTTCAAGCAAATGCCTGTATGCCTCATCGTTGTCAAAAGGCACACCATCAGCATCAGAGTGAGTTCGAATGGCGCAGAATGATCTGTCCTCAAAAATTCAAGATTCAAAAATAATTTCGATCGTTGCAGCATTACTTAAAATTTATTTCAATTTTTTTAATCATAATTGTATGATTTTTTTATTAGATGCCAATGTAATACATTCCATTTCTCATAATGACTCAAATGCATTGAAACATGATTCTCCAGTAGTGCTTAATACCATCTTCAGTTACATATTCAATGATACAAACTGAATATACAAAACCTAATCTATTGTATACATTTTACATAGGTGCTATTAAAGAAAAACATTGTTCGCTGCGATACGACAATAACTTGTTACGACTTTAATGCTTGGAATAAGTAAACGATAGAAGAAAATCTATCAGACTGGTGCATTCAAAACATCAGATGTTCACTGAATAATAATTTTAGGTTTTGTTTACTTCACACACCCATCGGTAGTCGTTTTGCAATCTTGACATATACGTTTACATAAGTAGGTAATCAGATGTACCATTTGCGATTCACTTGTGTTCAATTAAAAAGTGGATTTGGTTTCTTCTTTGAGTGATAGACAATCGTGTTTTTTTTTAAAATTTCCCTGCTTTTCTTAATATTATTCATGTATTCGATGATATAATAACATCTTACAATCAATTTTCATTTGACATGAAATGACTTCTTATTGAAGCCAATAATTAAAAATGGTCACATATTTGTTAAGAATGCAATTTGTATTTTAATTTTAACAATTAAAAAAGCTGTTTCATCGTGAATCGTACATATTATTTTCTAAAACCATGTACTAACAAATAGCAAAGACAACAATAACCATATTAGGAATGATTTCTAGTGAAAATTAGCACCATGACTGTTATTTGTAGTGCAAATTTGGAGTGAAGATGTACTGATGTCAACTATTTAATCGTACCTTATAATTTTAAGATAAACAAGGAATTTACCTAAATCATTACACATGAAGAAAAATTATGTCTTATATAAATATTTAGAATATCAAGATCTATTCATTGATTCGTGAATGTTGTTTTAAGCTAACTTGCGTTGACAATTGAACGGCGTCATCATTTGTCGTGGCGCAGTGTCAACAGTAAAATTCAACGCTGCGTTCTCTGAAACAAAAAATATTGATAAATAGTCGGTAAATGGCAGAAATACCAGCGTAATAAATGTAACTAGTACGACAATACTCACGAAGTTTTCCTCTGTGAAAGGGCACCTGTAAGTTCTGAGCCCGAGGCGCAATTGTCGCATCTCCGTCCGGCGCTTCGTGATCTTGAGACCTGGCGGCCAACTCGGGCATTTTGTTGTTTGACGCCCGGGGTGTCTCCGTGGGCGGTGAAAATGCGTTCGCTGCTTCTACGCCAATGACTCTCGAACGAACCTCGATGGGCGACTTGGATGAATCTGGATTAGCAGGTTGTAGTGGCGCGTTCTGCTCCTTTTTCGTCGGATCGCTCGACGTCGTATTACGTTTAACGTCAGCCGCGTGTAGGTCCTGTGAGCGGAACTGAACCGTGACGTTTCTCGGTCTGGCCGTCGCCATGGTCACCGTTTCCGCCGTCGTGGTCGTGAGCCCGCTTCTTCCGCCCACAGCCGTGTCGTCGATGTTCTTGGGCGCGGACGGCGTGGTTGGAGGCGGGTTTTGTCTCGGCGGCGCCTGAGCGTGCGTGAGGCCGAGCGCTCGGGGAGCTGCTTTGAGCGGAAGGTCCGTCACGGAATCCTCTGCCATGCGACGCACCTCCATTGCCTCCAGAGGGCTGGAGGTGGAGGTGGAAGTGGAGGTCTGGGCAGACCTTGCGGCTAGGTCTAGTGGACTCGCGGGTAGGAGCCGGGCCTGTGGAAATGACGCTGGCCTTATCATCCTCATGACCTATTTGTAAATGAAAAATAACCAACTGTAAGTTGTAATTTTGTATATAATAAGTATAAAATTTGTGTCATAAGTAATAATGATTGGTGGAGAGTTAACTAAAATTGTACAACTAATAATGAATAAGATTAAGCTCATAAAGAATCGTAAATAGGGTTTAATAGCGAATAAAACAGTGTATGTTAGCTGACGGTATGATATATAATGGCAATTTTAGCGAATGAAAAATTACATTTTTCAACTTGTGAGATAGTATATATGCGTAATCGGCTATGTAAAATAATTTAAGGATGTATAATTGAGTTGTCTAAATGTAGTATATTTTTGCGTTAAAAACTTTGCGATTCTCGTACAATGTAAGCTACAATTTATTTCGTGGTACATGACAATATAATAATTATTTTCTAATGGAATATAGGAATATATCTGAATCTTTGTCTCCTTGATCCATTTCTTTGTGTACTTGACCAAAGTCTCCTTAAAACCATAAAGGAGCATTTTTTGTATGAAATAATCATCAATCCTTCCTGCATATTTTCTCGTATTCCTTTTCATACTTGCAATATCATAATAAAAATAATAACAAAATATTAATACTATTACTAATAACAATAACTTACCAACAAAGTAATACCATTTAATATTAAAGGCATTCACCTAGAAAATATGCCCAAAAGCGAAGGCATAAGATACTTAGTGGTGCTAAAACAGCGCTTACTTTCTCTCCTTTAGTAATAGTTAAGTAAGACATGTTATATTGTTGCAAAAATGAATAAATGGTTAATCATTTGAAATTTTAGCTATTCTTTTTCCTTTATATTAACCCCCTGGAATATTTGGAAAACAAGAAAAAATGCTCCGTTTTCTATTAAATTTTGTTGTTTGATAGTATGAAGGACTTTATGGCGCAGGTCTCATTTTCTTTGATTTTTCATTCCAGGCGCAGATCTCATTTTTATTGGCCCTAATTTTTCGAAAGTTGCAAAAAATTAAAACTTTTTTGACACTCTAATTTCTATTCATCAAAATTTATATTTTTATTATATACATCAAATTTCAGCTAATATTAAAGGTAGGTTTTCTAGACTTGAGGATATTTTCATTACTCCCTGTACACCTAGTTAAGAACTTGTCGCTCTTTTTAAATGAAGCCTGCTACGCAAATTATACAGCCTACTACTATATTTTTAAGAAGAAGTGGTTTAAATTAAATACAAATTTCTTGTTTGACAAAAAATGTCGCAAAATATACTCGTTTTTTCGAACAATTCAACATGATCTTCTTTCAAGATTGGTAATTGATGAACACATTTCACTAAGAACAAAAATATATCTTCATAATTGTAGTTGTAAAAGGCACAGAAAAATATTTTGAATATTTTCAATTGTCAAAATATTGATGTTTTCAAATAACATGAGACCTCGCTTTAACGCCCTTTAGACAATCCACCCAAACAATTTCATCAAAAGCGAACGAGCCGTATTAAAAAAGACGTTTAAACAAAAATTTAAAATGGCCTATACTTTACGCTAAAGAATGGGAAAAATACTCAAATTTTCAAAAAAAGTGTACATGACCTTATTTGAAACTCTATCTTTTAGGAACAGATTCTATTATGGAAAAAATCAATATCTTTAATATTCTAGTTGTAGGAAGACGCAGAAAAAATTTGATTTTTTCAAGTTTTGAAAAATCAAGAATTTAACGAGTATGAGATCTGCGACATTATCTCAAATGTCCTTCAGACTATCCAACAACAAAATTTATTCAAAATCGATGGAGCCATTTTTTTAAATTTTGAAATTGTCTCAGGCGCTTCAAGTAAAGTACCTCCCCCCCTCCCCCAATTAAAATATCAATTTTAAATTCCAGGAACAGTGAAATCAGCCAGATCGATCGGTGATGATCAATTTTGGAGAAATTCCGCTGAACGGTTTATCAGATAGGGTTGTTCACAGACAGATGTTTCGCTGTCAATTGATTTTTCGATATCAAAGGCTCACTAAACAGGCTTCACCACGTATTTTTTTCTAAATCTAATCACTACTGCTCTGTTGCCAGGGCACTGTAATAAGAGATTTCTGCTAAAAAATGCCGTTTTTTGTGCCGCATTACATAACTTTCTCTTCTTAAAAAGTTTCTTCATAAGCGCGTGAAAGTAAAACGTACACTTCTCAACAATCATTCACTTGCAATACTTTGCTCATGAATATTTATTTAACTGACACATAATGTTCACTTTTAGCTTCGTGCATAATTAGTAATTATTTTTCGGCAGAGATCAATACTTTTAATTTACTAATATATAAATTAATAATATAATAATAAAAACAATAAACGTAACGTAATAACGAATAGTAATAAATAAAACTATATATAAATATACTAGCTATAATAATAATATAATAATATAATGATAAATAATAAAATGCAAAATATGTAATTAGGAAACAATAACGTAACGAAAGGTATATTGGAACCTGTACTAGAGATGTGTAAGGAGTGTACAGGAAAAAAGAAAAGGAAGGTACGATCGTAAAGGAAAAGAAAGGTGCAGAAGAAACAGAAGAACGTGCAAAAGAAGAAGTAAATGATGGACACGAAGCGGAAGGAACGACAGAAAAGCAAATGGGAGGTACGCAAGCAAGCGACGACGCAGGTCCGGAAGCAAAAGCAGAGAAGAAGAGGGACCTGGTCGAAGAGGTCCCTGCGGAACGCCTCGACGCGCGAGAGAAACTCGTCGCGCAGCCTCTTGGACCCGCCGGCGCCGGCGGCGGCGGCGGTGACGTTGGCCCTCTTGGAGCGTTGAGGCCCGCGCAGTCCCACCTTGGCCAGGCGGTGGCGGCGGCTGTGGCCCCGCTGGCGCTCTCTGCGCCTGCGGCGCCGCTGCAGCTGCTCCTGGCGCTCGCGCTCTAACTCCCACTCGCGCTCGCGCTCCCGCTCGCCGTCGGCCGAGTGGGCGTGCGTGTGCGGGCGCGGGCGCGCGCGCGGGCGCGAGCGCGGGCGATTGCGCGGGCGCGGCGTGACCGGCACGGCGTCGTCGGAGAGGAGCATGCCGCTCCTGAAGGCCTGGGAGCGGTTCTCGTCCGGGGCGGAGTGGACGGGCGTTGTCGCTTCCCACGACTCGTCACTGAACGTGGCGCGCCGGCCCGCCGCGCCTTTGGACGGGTCGTGCGCGCGGCGGACCTGCGCACGGACACGGTTGCACGTGTTTGGACCTACCACGCGCGCGCCACATGCACAGCATTATTTATTTGGCTGTCCGGGTGACGAATACATTTCGTGGAACCTTGCATCATAACATCAATATTTAAATGTGTTTTTTTTTTCAAGTCCCTCATACCCGGACAACGCGTGGTTTTTCAGGTAGTAAATAATTCCTGCCCGAACCATTTCCTAGAAGAGCGTAGGCTCCCGCGGTCGAAGTCAGTATTTAATTGGCTGTCCGGGTGACGTCACGTCCATGGCGAAGGTGCCGACGTTTCGATCGCCATTCTGCGACCTTTCTCAGGGCGTAAATGGCGACCGCAGGAAGGTCGCAGAATGGCGACCGAAACGTCGGCACCTTTGCCGTGGATGCGACGTCACCAGGACAGCCAATTAAATACTGACTCCGGCCGCGGAAGCCTACGCTCTGACATGCGCAGTGCGCCCTCGCAGGCTGCAGGAAACAGCAGCTGTGAGCAGCAAACCGAATACACTGACTTGACACCATTAGCGTCACCCGTACTTTAGGAGGCAATGACTGGCCACCCCTATTTCTGTGCCTCCATCACTGTCTTCTGATTGTTGTAACGTGTTTTTTGCAGTTTTAGTTCGTGCATTTTGTGTAACAGCTTGTTGTTCGTGGTTTAGTTTGTTTCGTTGAGGATAATTAATTTATCTATATTTTGTAGTTAATAATGAGTGTTAGTAACAACAAAGGTGTACGATGATGTATTTATTTCTTCTCCATTGGTTTCATTATAATTTCCTGGTCTATTGGTTGACCTACTTTCTTTATTGACATATATTTGTTGTGCTTTCTTTTACTAATTGCTTTTGGTATTAAAATTATAGGAGCAAAACATGTTTAATGGAAGTTCAGTATTCTCTATCAATTTCTATGTGCAAATATTGTTATTAGAGCTCCGACGTTTCGGCATTTATTTTTTCCTAAAATAGGCAGGCAAAATGTGATTTATTATATCTAAAGTATGGTTGCAAAGAAGCATGAAAACAGTAAAAAATCACATTTTAAAGAAACTGGTGTAAAATGTAATGATTAAAACGATTCACTCTTTTATTCTAGTTCTAACATCTACATTATCACAAATCGTGTAAAAAAGATCATCATTTCTTTGTAATCTTAACCCACATGACCATTCTTTATGATGGTTAAAAATTTGTTATACTCGCAGCCCTGTATCTTCGAAGTGATGTTGTGGATTCGCGTTTCAATCTTAAATGGCGTCAGTGGAAAAGAAGTTATATTTTTCGTTGTTCGCTCTCGTGTAAACGACAGCACTGAGAATGCTATACCATATTCAGAGAGCTGTCCTCCAAAATGATCGTCGTCCATACTCAAATGTAGGAAGAAATTTCTCGTGAGCGAACAAAGCCTTTCGGCATCAATGAAAAAAAAATTTAAAAAACTTAATATCTTGCTTTTTCATTTAGATTTTTAATAGAGTCCCTGGTTCCTCATAACAACAAAACAGTTTATATTATATTTATTTGGACAAAAAACACATTAAAAACTGTATGTGGTGGAGAAGATTACCTGCGCAGGTTTTTTTGAGTTCCAGAATCCCTTCCCGTCATTTTAACTATAAATAGTTGAAACACAATCGTTTCTTCGTGTTTTCCAGGCTTTCAGTTAAATATCCAGATTTATGGCGATCGGCGTCAGGAGAAACGCAATAAAAATAATGAAAAAGGCATAAAAGTACCAAAATAATACAAAAATTGGCATCAGATGCAAAAATAGTCACAAAAAATCTACTAAAACAACCCTAGAAGCTCTATATTAAGTGACCCTTAGTGTCAAAAGCCATGAAATAGTAACATTAACAAAACGGCGTTTTGCCAAACTTCTTAGCTCTTGATTACTCTGTTTCAGTGCGGAGGCCGGTGCTATCTCACCGCCTCTCTTTGCCGAAACGAACCGGCACCTAATTTCCTTTCCGCGTACTTTCCCTCCTGCGCGGAGGTCTCACCTCGACGATGTCTACGTGCTCCGGAGGCAGCAGCGGCCCCGCGCGCCGCCCGCCGTAGTCGTTCTCGTAGTCGTAGTAGTCGTGGAAGGGGATCTGCAGCCAGAGAGAGCGCTCGTTGCTGGGGGGTTGAAATAGCTATCTGCTACTGATTTCCAAAGAGAATCGAAAATGAAAGAAAACTATGCAGCTTCCGGCCATCTGAGAGGTGTGTTTGGTTTTGTTAAATACCCAGAAATGCAGATATATATATATATATATATATATATATATATATATATATATATATATATATATATATATATATATATATATATATCCAAAAATAAGGAATTGGTTTTTCAGAACAAAATGTGAATATACTACTATGTTACGCCGACTACTTTCATGCTCTGCGTATTATCATTCTGAATGTTCTTACTGATTTTCTCTTATTATAACACTGAGTGCCCTAATATCATTTCTACTACTACGAGTCTATAAGTGTCTGCCCATTCGTTTCAATCATCAGTAGGTTGACTGAATAGCTTTGTGAATTAACCAGCCTTAAGATGACATTGTTCACTTTGCTTATGATAGGTTTAAGCATCATCTAACGTTGGCTTGAGTTGTTGCATAGTGGCTGGATCACTTCCTGTGTGCACCCGAAAAAACGCAATTGTAATTCGCTTTTTGGGATCTGAATGAGTACCTGAAGCTGAAATCCGTCGAAGGTTGGAAACACAATGCGAGTGCAATGTTTTTATTTTGCAAGAAGTGTATCAGTGGTTTGAACTTTTCTAAAGAAGTCAAACAGTCAATCAGAAGGGTAAAAAATCACGAAGTCCAAATGTATCCATTACTTATTTGAAATTCGATCAAGTCCGTGCAGTAATTCTAATTACCAATGAGTGTCTGCTGACGAAGTACTCACGTTACTCAGATATCGCATACGAGAACGCCAAGTTAGAGTGTAGAAAGGCAATGTTTGTGCTTGCGGTTGAGAGACAAAGCTTATCCACAAACTGCCAGGCTCCTCAAAATGTATACAAAATGTCACAGCATCACGGGTGCATTTACAATTTTGTCCCTTCTAATTACTATCTGTTTCGATTAAAGATGCTGTAAGAGGCCGAAGATGACATCTATAGACGAGAAAGCAGTGAATATATGGCTTGCTGCTCAATCACAAATCCTTACTTTTGGAGGCATCGGAAAGCTGGTACAACTATGAAACAAGTACGAGTTTTCCGATATTCTCAAGAAAATAGGATTTTTGATTGAGTAACAAGCCATGCACTGCTTTCTCTCCTTTAGGTCGGAGACAAATTGTTGGCTCCATAAAGCGTCTTTATTTGGACAGTATGATCTTTAAATAACTATGAAGGATGTAGAGCAATTTATTGTAAAAGCTGTACAACTTCCAAGCTTTGAAAAGAAACGTTCAAAAATATATTAAGACAGATTTTCAAAGAAGCAGTTTCCTTGTGTGGGACGAGTGCGCAGTACATTTAATAACTATTGATGGCATAATTCGTAAACATTTCGAACCGGTGATTGTGAAGAATATTGCTGCCGTTACTCATGAAGTAATGGAGTTTTATGTACAACTTCTATGTTTGTAATGCGGATCTCCAAGTATTGGCATTCAAGGAATGGTCGGCAAGCAGCGCGCCAGCGGTCAGTAGCGGAACCTTTCGTTATAACAAGAAGCAGGTTGAAGAGCCGAAGGTATCATGCATACTAGTAAGCTATGATCTGACTAAGGTGCCAATGGAATGGTTTGTCGCCAGCAATAGTCATTATCATTGGTTATTGAGAATCAGAATTCGAATATCGCACAGGGCGTAATATTAAGTCCAGTAATGGATGAGAAGCCCTTGTAGGCCCACTGGTTTGAGTGCTTTCGACGGCGCAACCTTGGATTCGATTTTCGGTCGGGGTAAAAATGTATTGTGCGCTTTCTTTGCAATGTCCCACTACCTGTGATTATGTGACGATGAGAAAGCTCACTTCTCAGGTTGGGAATGCCAGAATACTGCTTAGCGATGGCTATGTGCTAAACATACATATCCCTTAAGCTATGCTCGCAAGGCCGGAACGCTGCTGGTATGTCTTAGCTCGTAAAGAGCTGTTTTGCCACGGTACATCATACGTACTACATAAACACAGTAATGAATGAGACTGGATATCTTGCTGATGTCTCATCTTTTATTCGTTCAAGCTACTGATAAGCACTTCGACAAAGACAACCAGTGCATTCATATTGTGCTGAGAATATTCTAAAAATTACAGCATTAAGATTCCAACAACAGATCACGAAAACCTGTTTATTTATGCAAACAAAGAGTAGTGTAGCATATCCTTATGTCGCAACAACTCAAACGGACGTTAGGTGATAACTCTAAAACTTACCAAATTGAACGTCATTTTAAGGCTGGTCGATGCACATAGCTATTAAGTCAACATGCAGACTATGAAAACAAGTGCTTCGTATTGACGTACCTTCCTATATTGAAGAAGCATAGTTTCTAAGTTGAAGAAGTCGTCATTGCAAATTGTGTGCTTTTGTTCTATAATAAATTATAAACATTAACCAAGAAACTTTTTTAAACACCATTTAACACTAAAACTTTTCCACATGTTAGAAACCCATAGCCAGCTCTATCCCTCTTTTCTCACAAAACTGTCCGTTTCATGATTTTTGGTTACGTTACTGAGAGTTCTGGTAGAAGCAAATAGAACTTCATGTTCACTTTTATACATAAATGTAGGTAAAACTATATTTCATAGTAGATTACTACTTCTGAATTAATTAAGAAAGACGTACAAAAAACAGAGGATAATTGGAACATTTTATCTGTAATTAGAATACACATGTATCCCATTTGACGGAAAATTGGGGAAATTTTTTCAATTGTGATTTGACGATATTGGTATCAGAAAGCTTTCTCAACAGAAAAGAAACAAATTATCAATTATTGTACTTCCAATGCAAGCAGTCCTGTAAATATTAGGTCATATACCATTACAAAAAGCATCAACTTAAGAAGAATACATAAATTTACAATGTATTTTATAAACTTTATAAAAATACGATATTTAATTAACTAAATATTGTAATCCATAAGAGAAGACTCGTTGTTTTTGGCTATCGTAATTTCTACAAAATGTACACTCAAGTTTTTCACACATTGCCAAAAACCAAATTTTCTTTTTCAAGGTTTGTAGCTCCCAGCTCTTGAATGTTCAATGCCAAAATGTATGATGTTCGGCATTCTTTATAACACAGTTTCCAAAGATTTTGTGTAAGAATGGCAGATTTTGTGAGCTATTTCTCTAATTAGATGGTATGCACCAATGATTAACTATTTATATTTCTGAAATTTATTGAAATAAAAAAACGAAAACATTTCGAGAATGATTTTTGAAACAATATATCCAACAACCGTGACTGAAACTTATTTGTTGAGTTGGAATGCAGAACTGACAAAATCAGTGCATAAGTCATGGTCGTGTGTACCAAAACTTAATTAGACCATGTATACATTCGATGTTTTGTTAATGTAAATTTCAAAAAGAACTTACCGTCATGTGTAACTCGCTTTTATCTTGACCAGTTTCAGTGCGAGTGACCAATGTCCTCGCCACCGTTTGGTACAAACCGGCCAGTAACCATGCCAACACCCAGATGTCGTTCTGCGTCATGATGCCACACCACAGTCTACTCTACTCCGGTTGCACTCTCCTATATTCTTCCTTTTCGCACGCTCCACTAACAATGTTTCATTCCCACTGCCGAAATCGTCGTTTCTACAGCAACTTACCTCCGCCTCGACGCGCGGTGCACGTCTCCTGGATTCTCTTCGCGTGCAGTTTACCTTATGTACTATGGATAACTGGTTTGTTAGGGTTCGCCATCGAAAATATTGGTACCGAGCCAAGACGTACGTTGACGCTGATATCCGTCGCGACCGTCGTTTACAGAACTTCACCCCGGCCGCGCGTATTCCGCGTGAACCAAATCGAAAACAGGAAGGCTGCGCGAGCACAGTCGGCCGTGACTGATGCGCGGGGCATCTCCGCTCTCGCAATCGCGGGTTTCGTCAGGGAAGCGCTTGCGACCGTAAAGAAACCTTCGCAAAAGGCTACGCTTGTGATGTGAGCGCAGAAATTGTCATGGACCAGAAGTAGTAAAATACATCCAGATGAGAATAAGTCGTGGTATGAGTTTGTATTTGTGAGGAGTCGAGATAACAGTTTTACTAACTATAATATATGTAGTGGTTGATTTATAAAATTTTAGGGCCCGGAACGCGCAAGAAATTATATAAATAAATATAATATAAATGTATGTTGGCGGTAAATTCTGACACCGTGTCACCGATCTCCATGAAAGGTGGCACATTACGTCTTTTTTAACCCAGAAGTTCTATGTCCTGGTAATTTTGTTATAACTCCTCTAGATGGCGCTGCAGAACAAAATTGCGCTTCATTTTAATTTCAATTAATACTCATGAATACATTAATCAATTTCCATTAATACTGTTTTCCACCTGGGATTCATTGTTAAGTGAAACAGATAAAGGGAGGGACAGGGACAGAGACAAAGACAAACAGGGATAAGTACAGAGAGAGAGAGAGAGAGAGGGACAGAAGCAGAGAGAGAGAAAGAAACAGCAGCGCAGTCAGACTGAGACAGACAGGTGGAGGGAGATACCCAGAGTGACCGAATGAGAGGGAGACGGAAAGAGAGACGGAGAGAAAGGAAGGGGGAGATGAAGAGCAGAACAAGTCTGCTAGTGTGTATATACAGTGTGTGTGTAAACATATTCCAAATGTTCACAAAACTTTAGAAGTGTGATTAGTATCAAGATCTCAATAATATCTCGTTTTAAATGAAGTTGAAATAACAATCTTATCTCAATAGATAATACGTATGACAAATCCATATTTTCAATCCTTAAGTGATACAAAAAAATGCAAAAATGCGAAAGGATGTAAAGCAGAGTACAGAAAAAACTGTGAATATTTGGAAAGTGTTTCGTATTTTCAAATACTAAAATCGATTCCTTCCCCGATACACAATTATATTTTCAATCATTTGTACATATAAAGATAAACAAGATATTATTAGTGTTACTATAATACATCATGATATTTGGGAATTTTCTCAAACTTCTAACAAAATTACTTAACGCACTGCAGTTACTTGGTGAACGTCATTGAAAAATTGTGGTAGTGAATGCACAATTACACTAAAAAACGCTTTCAAACGTTCATTTGATGTAAATTGTAGATGCTGCACGGCGGAAGATGCTGTGTAGCGAATGCGCCTACGTACATGGATCAGAGCGGTTTTCAGACGATTGTTTTTTGTTGTTGTTGTTGTTGTTTTTGGTGAAAGAAAGGCAGTACACTGTTGTAAATTAATTGAAGTTTAATATTGCTACATACAAGTGAATTAAACGAGTTTGTGGCAAGCCACTAATGTGGCAAGTGACCAATGAAAGTTTATACAGCTTCGGTTGTTATTCTTTCTTGAAGTTCAAGCTCACTTTACTTACGGTTTTTTGTACTGCAACCACAACCCCTAATCAGACGGTTGAGTATGTGGACGCCGTCAGGGCTGAGGTTGGGCTAGAGGGCTAGAGGTCTGGATGTCACAACAGGCAAGGACTCGGTAGGGGCTGGAGCTTCCCGATTGTGTAGTTTCTCGTGGATTCGTCTAGATGACGGCTGATGCCCGTGAGTGATCTGAATTTAGAGGTAGCGGTCTCTTGGCCACAGCCTTGATAGGTGAAATGGGAGCTGCCGACTTGTTCGCGAGCTGTCTGCCTAGTGGGGTGAGTGTTGTCACACTCGTTTGTTGTAGTTGTCAGGTGACACCAATATCCTTTTACGTCTTAATTGAGTACAGTTGTAGGCTGATGCCTAAGTTCGTAAGTGAGCTAAATTGTCGTGTATTAGTTCTCCAGTTGTGATTTTTACAGTTGTCTAATGCATAGTGGTGACAGTTGCGTTTCATTGAAATTCGATCGAAAGTACATTCCTTGCATCAATCGGGCGAAAGTGCAGCAACTAAACACCAACGCTTGTGAAATTGTTGCATCTTGTGAATTGTAATCAAGAACTTCCGAATTTTAGGCGAAACAATTTATACATCACATTTGCATGACAGTTCTTATTCAATTTAAATTGGTGGGGTATGTCGCTCACGTAATCGAAAGTAATGCGCTAGAAGTTGTCCAGTCTGAAGCGTAGTGCGACGCAAAGATTTCTGCGGTTTGTTTACATCATTTTTTTCTTAGGGTGAACGGATAATAGTTTGCATGAAAGCCTTTCAATTGTTTTATTAATTTCGAGTGTTCCCAGCACTTCGCACATTCTTCGTCGGGGGTGTCGGAGCCGTTAGAGGGGTTCGCGCAAATAGCCTCTGTGTAAATTATTTTATTGCCTATGAATTCCGAAAGAATTTCTGATTGCCGGTCAAGATATTTAGGTGCTGCTACCTGGGTGCGATCGCAAGGTTGAACATGCATCAAAACATGTGCGGTTTTGGGCGGGTATTAGTATTACAACGAAATTTTCAAAAAACAACCACATTTACGTTGACAGTGAGTTTGGGTTTTTTAGATTTTCACATTGCACATGATATTTATTAAACATTTGTTAATTCGTTCAAATTCACTTTGAGAAGTATTGTTAGTTTTTGGACTCTAGTATAAGGTGTGTTCTAAAACTCATACTCATTTGTCGTGCACAACATGACTATATAATATATCATATTGGCAGTTCTTGGAGTTAATTTTAGAACAATTTTAGAACATTTTAATATTAGTTGTCTTTTGGAAGTGCAGTTTCACGGTCTGCATTTTCCGTTAACGAGAATAAGCATACATGTATACGTATTTCTATGGTAATCTATTTAAACGTGGATATTTAAGAGGAGCAAGGAGAGTAAAAGTGGGAAAATGAGGAAATTATTTTATCACTTAAAGTATTCCTCCCATTAGTTTTACTCATAAGAATAGTCGTAACTAATTTTTAAATATCAAAATATAACTCATTATTACAAAATTATAAGTTATACATAAATATTATAATTAATTACAATGTCCCAACTAAACGATAAAACTAATCAAGCACTATAATGTCATATCATTTGTTCAAAACATTCTGCTTTTAAATGTTTGGGATTAATGCCCTTGCCTAGTGAAAAAAAACGTCATAATAAGATAATTCAAGAATACCTAGGAAATACCGAAGAACGCTGAGCTAAAAATGTGGGGAAGTCACATTTTGAAATGTAATTGGTATATTTTATTTTATGGTGAAAACTTATTTTTCTGTAGAAACAAACTTGCTTTCCTTTAATATATTTACGCTAGTGTTACAGCTTTTTGATTTCTTTATTCCATGTGGCATTTTTCATCAAATATGAAGATCAGCAACCCCTAACTGCTGGCAGTTAGATTTCTGTAGAATGATGACGCCCAAACATAGTGACACAAGGATCTCTGATTGCTGGATTAGATAGATCATACTTTGCAACGAAATGAATATTAAGGAAATATCGCATTCTGATAGTGACACAGTAGTATTATAATGCTCTTTTGAGTGAACAGAAAACACCGTTTTGTTACAAATCACTTAATTGAACGACGCATAACTGCAACGAACACTTATTGAAACCAGTATCTCATTTTTCACCAAAGACGAAAAAGTCGCGTTTTGAAACTCGACTTCTTATATTTTAATGCAAACTCAAATTTACCGCTTAGCATGTTGAATTTTTCTTATTGGGCGGAATAGGACGGATTTAAATCCATCGAACGGCGGATTTCTTTTTACGAAGCGTCTGCAACCCTGCTTGAGCGTCCAGACCGGACAGTATGTACTAATACCGGACACGCACCACTGCGGCATCACCGTCTTGAGAAAGCCTGTGACATGACAGGCCAAACCTAGGCCTCTCAGCCAACGACGCGGTGTCACCCTGACAGTCAAGAAGTTTTGAATTCGAGTCGCGAGGGCTTTCGTTTACATTGGACCTCGGACCGATTTATACGGTGGATGGTCAGTGGTCATGTTTATTCGAACCATCCGAAGAGCGGAAATAATGAATGTGGCTGTCACACGTCAGATTTCAAGATTCATTATGCTTAATCATTTATGACAGCGAGGTGCAACTTACGCCATTGCAAAAAGGTTGATTTGGAAGTATATATTGGCATTTTTACCGTTGTACAACACTTTTTATATTTTTATCTAGTATTTTATTTTTAAATGGTTTCACAGAGCATTGCACTTCTTTAGTATAAGATGTCACAAAGACAAATCTTAAAATTAATCATTACCATCCAGTTTTGTTTAAGTTTTTGAAATTTTTACAAGTTTTGTTTGAAAGAAACTCTTCCTGAAATGGTATAAGCTTTGACTTAAAATTTACCTTTGAAAATACTGCATGAAGAGTATTTCTCTCACTAAACACTATTTTTTAATGATTTTAAAAATAAAACGAAACATTTGGAAGTATGACCAAATTACTAACATTGGTAACACAAGATTCTGACGCTTTTTGAATTAAAAGTCTGTTCGTACACCTTTGTTCACAGTCTCTTATTGCTTAGCTGAATTATCTCTGAAGAATAAAATGAACTATTATTTATACGGTTCTGTAGGAATTAGGAATTACAAAATTTATA